CGCTAGGGGCTCCTGGCATCGCTACGAACGGAGCAAGGACGCTAGGGGCTCCTGGCATCGCTACTAGGAGCAAGGACGCTGGGGGCTCGAGCAAGGACGCTAGGGGCTCCTGGCATCGCTATGAACGGAGCAAGGACGCTAGGGGCTGCTGGCATCGCTACGAAGGGAGCAAGGACACTAGGGGCTGCTGGCATCGCTACGAACGGAGCAAGGACGCTAGGGGCTCCTGGCATCGCTACGAACGGAGCAAGTACGCTAGGGGCTCCTGGCATCGCTACGAAGGGAGCATGGAAGTCTGTTCCAATTCAGAACTGGCCTCCAGCTCCTTCAGCCGCTCCGCCACGAAACGCTCCGCTGCCCGCGGAAGGGCGGGGTCCAACCGGTGGTTTGATGTGGCGTGTCTCGCCCGGTTGGGGGAAAGAGAGCTCGCGGGTCCAATGGGTCCCAGAGACGAAGCGGGGCGTGACATGCACCGGGGAAAGAGCTCGAATGCAAAGCTTCCAACGCCTTCTACGATGGATTTGACGTGCAAAACCCCCACTTGGGTCTCCCAAACACCGAAGGATTTGCGCTGCTGCGGGGTTCACCCCAAACAGCTCGGCTCGGTCGTGCCCCTCTCAGACGACCTCGTGACGCCTGGCTTCGAGACCGCGGATGGGTCCGGTAGAGGGCAGGACCTACTGGGTCCGGAGCAGCGAGAGGATGGGAGATGGTGTCCCACCATCCTGTTTCTTGACAGAACACCCAGGACACACCCAGCAACCCAGCAACCCGGCTGTGTGAAAAAGCCTCGACTCAAACCATGACGGGAAAATCGGTGGTTGTTGCGGTTCCCACCCAGGAGTTGTTGTGGGTATAACACACCCTCCAACCCAGAAGCCATCCGATCTCCTTTTTGTGCGATCTGCCTTTCGGGGGTTGGTGTGCTCCAAGTGGAAAGACGCCATCCCTCTCTTTGAGATGGGACGGCAAGCAGAGACTTGCTCCACCTGTTTGTGGAAATGGTGGAAATGCTGCACTGTAGACTGTAGACTCTAAATTTTATTTCAACCCTCCAGACATGGATTGTAACATCTGTTCACAAGGGGAATTTGATTCATCAACCGTCAACCGCCCTACATGATCAGTTGTTGATGATAACTTCAACCCCCCACAAAAGGGCGTGAAATATCAATACTCAACCGTGTACCTTCGTGTAAGCACGACACGCGAGAGGCCCTTCGTCACGGAGAAAACCGTGGAGTCCGTGAAGTTGACACCCCATCCGTTCGAGTCGCCTCCACGGATCTTTTTGGGGGGGTCAAGGCGTGGTAGGGTATTTGGCCTTGAGGCCATCCCTGATGTTACACCAAAATGTTCTTGCACCATGTTTGGGGTGACGGGACACGGTTTACGCTCCGTGGGCGTAAAAGAAACAATTTCATCATGCTTAAGTCACAGACAATGGCAAATGCAATCAAAAACACAGATTCACCCTTTCCTTGGAAAGTGGCTGTGGGCCTTCATGTTATCAAAAAAAGAGTGGATCTCATTTCAAGATACTTTTATAGAGTGTCATTTTTCGGACCAAGTAAAGGGAAGGGTAAAAAGCACCGGTAACTAATTGATATGTCAGTGATCGTGTGCACTCCTTGTGGCAAGCAAAGCCACCAGTGTTAAGTAGAGGGCTCTGGGGCCCTGGGGTGGCAGCCTGCCATTGCTCATCACCTTTGACCAACTTCACCAGGGCCACCGGCTACAACAGCCGCGGAAGGGTCGGCAAAAAAGGCAGCAGGCCATTCTTGCAAATTTGAAAGAACACAAAAATGGATGAAGTTTCCGTTGAATAGCGATGGAAAAACCCAAAACCTGCGGCTTTTGTGGTTACACCAAGGCGCCGTCCTTTCGAATCGGCGCCGTCCCTTCGAATCGGCTTTGGTACTGTGCTGATCGGGCGTAACTCAGTGCTGATCTGGCCACGGGTCTCACGGGTCTCCTGGATTTTGAAATGACAGACCCATGTGACAAATCATGTTGGATCTTTCCAGGACACAGCGTTGGGAGCAAGACTCCAGAGGAAAAGCTAAGCTTGGAGGCACATGCAGCCAGTGCTAACACTGAGAACTGCTGTTCCGCCCCGGAGCGCGACCTAGGATCCATGCAAAAAGAAAAACAAGTGTCCTAAAACGATTCAGGACCTGTTTTCTCAAAAGGTTTTTCTGCATGGCATGCAGCCCGACTCCCTGTTTTTCCCCTTATGAAGTGGATACCCATCCTATTCATATGTTGCACCATGTTGGCCGTGATAATCTCTTAGAGACCAGCCGCAAAACCTAAAAAGAATGAACACTCCTGTCCTGCAATTCTTTCATGACCTTCTACAAAGACTGGAGTTTCCTCTCAGGGGGGCCTCCACCCTAGTAGCGATGGCCATCGGATACCCATGAACCCACATGAATCGGATCGATCCGATCGGGAGTGGCGGAAGTCGCGCGTTGGGGACACGGGAACCCGTTTGATGGACTTGTGCTTAGCTAGCTCGTAGGGAATGGGGGCTGGATCCAAAGGAATCCCTAGGGAGCTGCGGAGACCAAATAAACCGTAGGAAAGTATTGCCAATCCAAAAGGCTCAGTTCAAGAAAAGTTGTAGATTTATACCTTTTTTCCTATATACCAGGAGTCAGAAAGGGGTGGGTTTTTAGTCCCATCCAGTGAGTGGATGTTCTGGGCACCCCTATCCTCCAATAGGCACCCCTTTGTGACTGCTGGTACGGTATATATATATGTTGACTTCCATGAGTGCCGCAACCGTGTCTTCCTTCCAGGTGCAAGCATATCGATCGTCGTATCCGCAGGGACATTCATCGGCTGGAGCTGAAAAGGATCGCCCGATGGGTTTTCGATCGACTGGAGTCGGTCGGCTACCGGTGTTTCGACATTGGTAGCGGAGCCTCGGCCAAAACGGTCGAGGCTCCGAGTAGGAACTCGGCGCCGCCATGAGTGCCGCTGCAAGTCAAGACCAAGGTGGTCTGAAGTTTTTCTCTGGCGAGTCCGAAGACCACAAGGACTACCGTCGGTGGAAAGCATGGGTCCAGTCGAAGATGATGACGCTGGACAAAATGCCCAAGGAGGCCCGAGGGGCCTATGTTTTCACTCTCTTGAGTGGCAAGGCTTTGGAGTGTGTAGAACACCTGGATCCCAGCGCATTCCAGAAAGAAGGCGGTGAGAAAGTTCTGTTCGATCTTCTGGATCAGCGATTCTGTCAGAAAGAAGTCACCGATGAGATGTCGGAGGTGCTGACCGAGATCTTCAATCTTCGTGCCGCCGAAGGTGAAACACTCAAAGCCTGGATTGGCCGTGCCACTGAGTTGTTCGATCCATGCGCTCGCAAAACGAATGTCACGTTTCCTGAGGAGGCTCGAGGATGGCTGATCCTCCACAGGAGTGGGCTCAACGACGAACAAAAAGCTGTGGTCGTCGCTCGATCCTTAGGGGTCATGAAGCGAGAGGAGATCGGCAAAGCAATGCGCAGCTGCTACCCCGAGTTCGTGATGAAGAAGAAGCACATAGCTGGCGTTGCAACGCTGGAAGAATCCATCGTAGGAGAGCCCGTTTCTGAGATCTCCGACCTCGTCGACGACTTCAACGATGTTGAACAATTTCTTGCTGAGTATCAGCAAGACGAGGCTCTTGAAGAAGAAGTCTATGAAGAGGCCGAGGTCGCAGAAGCATTGGCGATCAGCTGGAAAGATCGACGGCAAGAGCTGTCGAGGTTGCAGAAAGCTCGCAACTTTTCTTCGAATGCCGCCAAGTCCAATGAGCTCAGAAGAAGTTTTCGTGTAGAAGTTGAAGAGTTGAAGAAAAAGACACGCTGCCATCGCTGTGGACAATTGGGACACTGGTCCAAGGAATGTCGAAAAGGAAAAGGCAAAGGCAAGCAGTCCTCTTCCTCGAAGGGCTCCTCAGAGACTGGTGCAGCCCTGGTACAACCCGCCCAAGAAGATGATGAGCAGTTTGTTGCTATGGCACAGCATTTTGCAAGTTGGTCGCCGCTTGACATCCTGCGTTCCACGAAGCGAGCAACAGATTCCTCGATTCCTGATTGGACCGTGCACGAAACTCTGCTGGTTTCAAGCCCTGGTTTCGGGGTGATCGATTCAGGATGCGGCCGCACTATTGTCGGCCGTGAGACACTTGCCAAGTTCAAGCAAATGTGGCAGCAACACGGCATGTCATGCCCT